TCAGAAATTTTTTCTGGGTCCATGATTGCCCCTGAGGGAGAAACTTGGATGCTTGCAAGACCACACCTCAGAAATAGGTTGAAAATGCCCCCTTAAGAAGGATGCCAAATCAGAAGATTAGATGTATCATCTCTCCCTTTAGCAAAGCTCCATTCCATAGCAAACAATAATCAAATATAATAACCCCTAGATTTCACCCGAGAGCTTTGAAACATCAGATGAAGGGTTTTTTGTTTTTGTTTTGGGTGGGTGGGTGGGTGGTGGGGTGGACTAGGGAGTCCAAGGCCAAGAAAAGCAAAGAGTGAACGTCAACACTGATAGTCAAAGAACTGAACCTCTAATACCATTCTCTCTGAAGCTCTGAGATTTACCATTTGAAATCCTTGGATTATGTGCAAATCCTTGGAATTGCACATAAAATCATTTATGTGAAATTCCGTAAAGTCTCTGCCCTTAAAAAACACTGAATTAAATATACTAAATATTCACCAGCATCTTTCATCCCTCTTGTTGCCATTTACAACTTAAAACAGCCAAGACTAATGGCCATTTCCAGACTCCATTCAGGGGCTCCAAGCTGCACAGCTTCAAAAGGTTTGTCAGTAAGAGGAGACATACGTGGAAAATGTGAGAAAAGTCTCTAGGTCTAAAGTCACACTTTTGCTGCTTAGTTCAATGATTCCACCTTGTGTTAGGCCAGGTTGACTAGAGAAACAAATTTATAGATACTCATATATGTATAAGAAAGAGCTTTATATCAAAGAATAATTGTATATCAAGAAAACATCCAAGCCCAGTCCAGATAAAATTCATAAGTCTTATATTAGCCCATCAGTCTGTATTAGTCCCTACATCAGTCTTCAGACACATGCAGCCACATGCAATGATGCAAAATGCAGAAAGACCATATGTTGGTAGGTAAAAGTCTTGTGCATCCAATGGTAGTGGGAGCATCACAGGGTTGGCACAGGTCTTCACCACGTGGCTTGCTCAGGTCTCAGTGCTTTGTCACCAGAAAGGTGGAATAGAGAAAGTGTGTGGCCCACTTCTAGGGAGAAGTAGAGGAAGTATCCATAAGCCTCCTGTGCAGGCCACACCCACAAGGATGTATCTTCAGGCTGTGATTTGAGTGACAGGTTAGATTCC